ATTGCTCTCTGCCCTCCGGCACCAAGCACTCAGAACAGCAGAGTTCCAAATGACAAGCTTTCCTTCTTTGTAAGGATGAACAGTATAGATATGTGTATGGCCTATAATATATATGCTATGTAAAATACATATGGTAGAAGAGATCTTTCTGTTTCCCTATTCATCCATCAGTGGACACTTGGGTTGTTCCGTGAACCTTGCTGTTGCTTGGGCAGCCACTTCTAGCCTGCCTCCTGCAATAATACACTCTAAAAATGTCTTAGGAAAATGGTTCAGAGGCAAGGCTGATCTTCAGTAAGCTCAGTGATGGACAGCTTTGGTTTCCACCTTCTTTAACTAGTGCAACTACATCTCAATAGAGATGCTCCAGTTAATTTCACAGTTTCAAATACTTGCCAGGGTGAAAATAAAGGATTCAAGCTGTCCATGCGGATGTTACTGTTGCTGCAGTTAGAACCACTGTGATGTTGTCAAGTCTACACCACACTTCAAATGTACAGGAGCCACAAATTTAGCTCTGAACTTTGAAAGTGTCTCTTTATTAATGATTATTAATTATTAATCATTTAGTTACCTCATAACTGGCTTGCTCAATTAGAAGAGGAAGTATTTACCTGTAAACCTTTTACTCACGTGGAAATTCATAGAATATTTTTCTACAAGATACGGTTTATAATTTTATTTAAAAAATCAAAGAGTGGAGGAATCTGACTTAGAAGAACTGGAGTAAACATTAGAGTTGGGGTTTTACTGAGTGTTGTAAAAATGTCCCTTTCCAAACTACAATGGGTGATTTCCATACAGATTTAACAGGAAATGACCATAAAATCGCCAGTCAAGCCATCATTTTGAGATAAGCACTTTACTTAGCGCCTTTCTACAGATAGTGATCTGATGGACGTTAAAACTCCGACAAATTCGCAAGAAAGCAGGTGAAAGCCTAGCAGGTCGGCGCACGCGGTCTAAGCACCCAGATTCAGCTCTGCGAATCAAGGGTGGGCTCCAAGGTCCACGGTTTTGCATTTCGCTCCCGGAAGCCGGGTCTTTAGACCCAACCCTGAGAGACTCGTACTTCCTGGTCTGTATCCTGGAAACTTCACCGGGGAACGAGTGTCCAAACAAAGCAGGAGAGCTGAGGCAGAAGGGTTTCCACTCCTCGTTTTGGAACTCAGCGGAATGAGAATGTAACTTGGTCCTGATTTCCGCTAGCTGCTTTGAAACACGGAGTGCTGAATTTGCCGAAACGAATTGATTTTCATTCATGTGACACTGGCGGAGCGCCCACTGGTGTGCCTGGCACACAACAACAACAACAACAACAACAACAACAACAATCCCCACAAAAACCTCTGGTCAAAGTCAAAGAGTGGTTGAGGGATTTCCCTTTTAGACCCTGACAGGTGGTTTTCAGTGACTCAATTACTCCAACTATTCAAGGCATCAGCAGCGCCTCCAGGACCCACTCGGGTTAGAGAACCGCAGCACCCTCGGGTGGTTGGCGGTTGCAGATTTCCAAGCGAGGAATGCGCGTCTGCTCCAAGGCTCAAGGAGCCGGGAGCAGAGATCCCAGCCCGCCCAGCGCCTTGGCGGGGAAACCTGCCGCAAGAATAGTGATTTCTTACCACGTTGTGGTGTTCATTGTATGGGTCAAAGCTTTGAGTTCTCTCCCTAGGAATGGTCATAAAGGAATACGCCTTCTTAAAAACGATTTCAGGATCCCGTGTATTAGAAATCTCTGGAGTTGAAAGAGGAAACCAATTCCACAGGTGCATTTAGCACCTGAGCACAAAAGACTCGCTTCTACCATAGTCCCACGTGGCAATGGCCCACGCGCTACACGCCACACGGTGGCGACACCTCGACCCTCGCCAACTTGTCTCAGTTTCCTCTCGAAAAATCCTGGCCAAGGCTCGAACTAATCTGATGGAAGGCAGGGAAGCCAGGGACTGGGACTCTGCAGGGAGTGGCCGCCTCATGGTTCCAGGGCGCACTGTGCCCGGGGAGCCACCTTCCTAAGTGGCAACCGGGTGTCCCCGTCTGGGCGTGGGGGTCAGCATCCTCCCAAGCCAGTTCTTCCCTTCAGGAGTCTTGGAGCCGCTCTGTGACCAGGCCCTGCGGAAAGGGACCTCTGACACTCACTCAGTCCAAAAGTCGTGAGTTTATTCCCTCAAGGTAGCAGCCACTGGAGTTAAACAGCAAACTTACTAAAGGCATCTTGGAAGTTAGGCGGTCCTGACACCTCTCGGGGCACGGAAGCCACCTTCTGGGGGCAGAAACCTGGGGTGCTGATGGGACCCACGGGACACCTCGAGTTCCATGGCTCATGCCACTCAACCCTTCTTGGAAGCTAATTTCTGCTCTGCCTATGGGAAACTCAAAGTCTGGGTCCCTCTATTCCCCTCTCCTGGCGCTGGCAGTTCCCAGATGCCGGACTGTGCACACAGCTCGGGGAAGCTGGTGGATCCTATCCGCTGGTGTGTACAGCGCGCTGCGCTCAGACCTACAGGCACTCAGAAGCAGACAGGCTTCTCTCTCCCCAGTTAGCAAGTATCTTAGCTAGTACCTCCGCCCCTGCAGGTGCGCCTGGAGCTCCTGGTCCAGGCTGACTGAGTCTCAAAACTAGTGAGCCGGGTGTGAGACAGATCAAGGTAATGCATAATTGGGTGCAACGGAACGCTCCTATTCTTGAGAGTGTGTGAGGATCTATTCCTGAGATGGAGATCGAACCGCAGACTCCAGTAGAGACTCGGAGATAGATATGGGATGTATTTGAGATTGAACCCCTAAGCACGCCCCTGCGCGCCGGGCCAGTGTCATCTATGAGAGCCTATGCTTTCTGGATCTCTCTCTGTCTCTCTGTCTCTCTCTCTCTCTGTCTCCCTGTCTCCAGACTGTCCGCCTGCCTTCTCCTTAGTGAGGATCTAAGGGCGTGGATAGGCATGGGGGCGGAATCAAATGCCACTGGGACATCTTTGCAAACAGCAGCCGGAAGCAAGGGGGCAGCTGTGCAAATGGCCCAGGCAGGCGGCCTAATGGGATATGATGGATAGCGGGTAGGAAGGGGGAGAGATCTACAACGGAGGCTTTGAAACATCTGGCCCTTGCACCTAGCTCGCCCTCTGGACCCATCTGGGTGTGGGACTCCTTCTCTCACATGATGAACATGAACAGCCCTTTGGAAGTTGTCCATCTGAATTGAGGTGATCCACACTGGAGGACTTAGGAAAGCAGCAACAGTGAGATCTTACAGACTCCCTTGTGTAGACCAGTAAACATTTCCAGGTCTCAGTCTACTAGCCGCCCCTTCAAGAGGGAACTGTGGTACCCATGTCAAAGATGTGTATGTTGAGGCTTCACGCAGTTATTTGACCATGCTCACAAAACTGCAATGGCGCAGCTACAATGGAGCTCAGATATATAT